CGCTGTCCCAAATTGACACCGTCGGGCGCCGACTGCCGACCTGCCGTCCAAATTGCATCATGTAGGTGTAGGCCAGGCAATCAGGCCACCAGAAGCAGCAGGTAATCCGTAATACATAATCATGTAGTGGTATTCTTTTATCTAGTAAATAACAGTCAATAGTATTTTTATCAAATTGCCTATGATCTTACTGGTAGTCGTCGAGCTAACTTTAAGATAATAGATATGTAATTTTTCTTTTGGTTAAGATTTGTGAAACATATATTGCTACTATATATGTGACTACAACTTGGTATGGTTTACTAGTTTAGTCTTATACATGACCCCCCTATACTCAATTCCTAGCTCCACCCCTGCTCATGAAGGGAATTCATCTCATCCTTCATGGCTTCCAATTAATGATTCTTGTGCTCATTAGACATAGCCTCCTCCTAGCATGAGGGTTCACCTACATCTGTCAACAACAAATATATTCATTTAGTGGGTACTTGCTAGAGGGCCTATGAACTCTACTAGTTCTTCTCAACTGCTCCTACTGTGGTTCTTCTAGAGTATCATCAACATTAGAATCCTAATCAACATCATGATTCTCAGATGGCTGGTCACCACCCTAGTCTGAACTCGCACCTTTAGTGCTATCATCTCCCCCATGATTGTCATGCACAACCGGAGAAGGATCTAGATCCATATCAACAACTTGAGGTGTAGTGGTTGGCTTCTTTGGCACAATATCTTCAATTGTCTTATCTTGAAAGAACACTACATCTCGGCTTCTCACAATTTTCTTCTTAACTATATCCCACAGCCAATAGCCAAAATACTCATCAGGGTGGCCCAGCAATACACACTGCTTGGTCTTGATGTCAAGCTTTAACCTCTAATCATCTTTAGGAACATGCACAAATACCCTGCACCCAAAGACTTTCAGATGCTTGTGTGATACCTCCTTTCCTAACCATACCTTCTGGGGAATATCACCCCATGGAGACAAGTTGATCGCATATATTGCAGTCATCAATTGTTCAGCCCAAAACTCATTTGGTAACTTTGCATGAGAGAGCATAGTTGTGACCCTCTCTGTGAGTGTCCTATTCACTATCTCTGCAAGGCCATTCTGTTGAGCTATCTTTGGCACTATCTTCTATTGCTGAATTCCATACAACTTGTAGTACCTCTCAAATGGTCCTCTATACTCACCACTATTGTCTAATCTGATGCACTTTAACTTCTTGCCAGTTTCCCTTTCAACCTTGGCATGGAACTATTTGAAAGCATCATGTATCTAAAATTTGCTCTTCAAGACATATCCAAAAAACTTCCTAGATTGGTCATCAATAAATGTGATAAAATATAATGCACCACTAAGGGAATTCTCTGTCATAGAACATCCTTAGCATGATGTGGAGTAGTGGGTGTATGAAAAGTAATCATGTGTTGGTTACCAACTAAACAATCTACATAGGGTCTCAAGGTCATACCTTTGAACTCAGGGAGGAAGTTCTTATGAACAAGGGAGTGCAGCCCCTTCTCACTCATATGTCCAAGTCTCTTGTGACACAACTCAATGCTGGAATCCCTCTTAGCAATGTTCACATCACTCTTGCACAGCTTGGTCTTTGTCACGTAAAGACACGCTTTCTTGGCACCATGAGCTAGAATCAAGGAACCATTGGTGAGCTCCCATTTTTCTTCACCAAAGTAACTGCCATGGCTAATATCATCAAGCTTTCCCACTAACACCAAGTTCAGTCTTATAGCAGGGACATGCCTCACATTCTTAAGTGTCAACTTGTTGCCTATACTTGTCTCAATACATATAGTGCCCTTGCCAACAATGGTTGATGAATATCTATTTCGCATCCTCACATAGCCAAAGTCACCACTAGTTTAGTATGTGAAGTACTCTCTATGCGATGTGAGATGGAAAGTGGCTCCTGAGTCCACTACCCAACTCATATCATCACCACTAATGGCATTGAAACAACTATCATCTTTGAGAATGAGATAATCCTCACCAACTACAGTTATAATTGAGGTCTCACCCTTTTGCTCGGTATTCTTGCCTTGCTTTGCTTGTGCAAGCTCTCTTTTATAAATCTGCATTGATTTCTTTTGTGTCCTTCTTTCTTGTAGTGAAATGAAAAAATCTTGTTGCTTGAGCTTGACTGTGATCTCTCGCTAGATTTACTTCTGGCTCGCTGAGATTTCACTTGGCTTCAACCACAATTTCCTTCTTTTCAGATAGATACGCATCAGAAGAAGATGGCTGATGGCTGCCCTTTTCTTTTCTTTTGGTTTCCTCATTCAGCAGGTTGTTCTTCACCATATCAGGAGTCAGCTTCCGATATGGAGATGAATTGCTAAGTGATACAACAAGTGTGTTCCAGCTGTCCGACAATGGGCTCAACAATAACAATTCCTGCACTTTATCATCAAGATTTATCTTCATGGTTGTCAGCTGACTTATGTGGCCTTGGAAGACATTCAAGTGCTCAATAACATTGCTAGCTGCTTTATCACCAAGGGTTTGTTAACTGTTGTCTTCCGCTCATACATAGACTCCAATTTTTTTTGCCACAACTCAAATGCATTTGTACCATTAGCAACATGGTGAAAAATATTATGGTTGATGTGCAAACGGATCATACATATTTCCTTTCGATTTAATACTCTCCAATCTTCTTTTAGGAGTCTAGTCAGTATTTTCTCTCACACAAATGACTCATACAAATCCTTGCAATACAGAAGATCCTCCATCATTGGCTTCCATAGAGAATAAATTGAAGCATCAAGCTTGATCATATATACCACTTGGAATGTTGTTATCCTCCATTGCCAAAGTGAGAAATATCACCTCTCTGATACTAGCTTATGTTGGGATAACCACACAACTTGTTAGTGACAGCGGAAGCACTTAATTTCACCACAATGCAAAATCAACCCAAGATCATCACCTATTCACGGAAGAAAACATATGCATCACACATATAAATGGAGGAAATAGCAGCAACCACAACTGGTTCCAGCCAGTTGTTATCACATCAATCCCAGTTGCTACTAACTGCAACTGACCACAACAGCACTAACAACAAGTGCAATTAGTTGCAACTAGTTGTAGCCAAGCTCGCATAAACAGCAAGACACCAGATTTAACATGAACAACCCCCAAATCTAGGTAAAAAACACGGGACCAAACCAGCCAAATCTTCTTCCACTATATGCTTATGGAACTACAACAAGTTCATCTCTAGATAACACTAGTGGCAACCATACATGAAGATACAACCTATCTTGGATAGCAACAATAAGATTTGGGGCTGCTACTTAGGGAGTGGAAAGACCTCACCAAATGATGGTGAAACTCAGATTAGAGGCACCAAGGATGTGGATCCGAAGCTTCACTACCTTGGGGACGAATCCTTCTTGATCTATTGCAAGATCTCCTCTCTAATCTCCTTCTTCCTCTCTTTCTCTGGTTTTCTTCCATCTCTCACGCGCAAGGAGAGCGAGGGGATTAACTAGAGCTGTGTTGTGTTGGTGGTGTCCAAAGACTTCTCCCTTCCTTCTCTTGTATAGTAAGAAGGAAAACACTAGATGCACACAAGTTTGGTCCACCTCGTTGTGCTACATCTATGACATGTGGCCTGCTAACTAGGAGCATTTACTCTCCTCAACACCCACTCATGAGCGGATTTCCCAACATCACTTGGACGTTTGGGCCAATGTCTTAGGAGTCCTCTTGGTGAGACTTCATGTGTAGCCAAGATTTTTAGTGGTTGATTGGCAGGAGGAGACTAAGGTTGTGGCATAATGCTAGACAAGAAAAAAAAGGGATTTGTGTGATGGAGTCTACCTAGTGGCAGTGCGGCAGGGCTCCTGCACGCTATGGTTTTTGAAGGTATGAGAGTGCCTATGTTATTATGAAACATAATATGAAGTAACCCCCTCAATTTGCATCTAATTGCCCACCTACTATTTTGAAACATAATCTATGTAACTTCTTAAATTTACATCTAAATTATCACTACTGCAATTACTATTGAGAGAAGAACTTAAATATTCCCTCAAAGATACATCAAAATTACCGATCTCTAATATTACGAAAAATCTTTAATTAATCATAAATTACACATTTATATTTCTAAAATTTCTGGTTTTATTATATTAATATATACTAAATCAGGTAAAAGTAAATATGCATGTGCTAGATCAAGTACACATGCATGCATAATCAATAAATATATATTATATTTCAGTAATCATAAAATATGTTTCCTTAACTACTCATATAGAGTGATACTAGCAAATTATTTAACATTTAATATCCATGATATATAATTTATCTAAAATTTTTCCTTATATAAATCAACACTACCACACATATAATTCTTTAATAAGAAAATTTAATGTCTTGAGAAGAATAGGAGGTTAATACTGACCAAAGATGGCTATGAACTTATGGCTTTTGAGATTCCTTATTAGAAATAAACAATGATTATAAGGCTCTACCACGTTAGCATTCCTAGCATACTTATTCAAGATCTCACTTTAGGCTCTACCACTAACCTTGAGCAAATGTGGTGTAGGTTGAAATTACCATATATGTTGTAGATTATTTAAGAATGTAGTCTACAACATAAAATCCTTATTTTAAATAAAAATATAAAAGGATAGTTAATAAAATATACAATAAACACAAAAGTTTCAATTAAACTAGAGATAAAAAATAAGACTACATCACGAGACATGAGTTGGAATAGGAGCCAACATAACTTACGTTGACATTTCAATTTCAACTAAACGCTCATCGAAGATATATCTGGAGTTGCTAAAAACTATGGTTTTGGATTAAAAAAACATATGGATCGGTAATAATTTATAAAGGGGTATTTCAAAATTAAGGATTTATCCTATTGGACTCCCCATGGGCCATGGCACCGAGATTAACGAATGGACCGCGGGCAGAGGTACATTTTAGCTACGTACGAGCATGAGCGTACCTTGTGGGTTTTGCTTCTGGTTGGCCTTTCGCCTGTACAGGAAGACACCAACGATGGTGACTGCGGCAAGCACCGTTCCAACAGCGAGCGCGAGCGCGACCGGCAGAATCGCGCCATGCGTCTTTTTTCCTGCGTTCCCAGTCAGTTGTTAATTTTTTTTATAAGAAAACGCACAACACCACACGTGTTACGTTGACCGACCATTGCCCTGTTCGTTTGGCTGATAAGCTATAGCTACTGTTGACTGATTTGTTGTGAGAGAAAAATACTGTTCGTTGATTGAAAAAGTACGGCTTATAAGCCAAGCGAACAGGGCGCATATTACATGAGCGGTGCACAGGTAGCATGGTCTTTCTCGCCATGGTGGTGTAACGCTCCGAAGTCCAACGACTGTGAATAACCAGCCAAATAAAGAAATGCAATTTGCTATGCGCCCCTGATTTCCGCATTTGCTTGACACCATAAATAAACGAACGCTACATAAGTGTAGCAGCGTTTCTGTTAGTTTCTATCTATCTTAATTACCTTGAAAGCTAAGCATTTTGCTCAGGTGAGGTGACAATAGAATTAACGCAGAGAAATCACAAAAGAGTCTTCAGACAGATCTAAGAATGGAAAAAACATGTAAAGCCACGTTAGGAGGACTCTGATCCATTCGTTTCTAGTTGCCTCTGGGTCCAGTGTTCCGCCACCTTCTCCCCCAACACCTCCCCGCGTTCATTGAGGGCGACCCTTTTCGGTCTCCTCCGATACTCCACGCTAGTGAGAGCCCCATAGGATGATGGATAGCTCTCGAGATGGAGAACACGGTGATGTGACATGCATAGCCTGATTCCTAGATCTGGAGGTGGGATTTGGAAGAGGAAGAAGAGGAATGTTTCGTTGTTCTTGGCAAGGAGCATGAGGGGGAGAACAGCGAGACAGAGGACAGGGGAGACGCGTGAGGGGTTTCGGAAGAGGGCACCTAGGCAAATGATTGATCGGTCTCCTACATGACCGATTTTCACAACTGATCCTTCTCAGTTTTTAATACATGATTATGCTCACTAAATGTTATTATCCATAGAAACTGCTATAAGACACTATGTATTGAAGGTGTTGAGCGTAAAATTGAATCTTTCTTCGTTGGAAACAGCTATAAAAACTTTGTATTGGGACTGATATTATTAACTCGTGTGAACGAACACATGATAAATTAAGGCAACTACCTAGTAATTAACTCTAAATCCGTGTTTTCTTAGTGTTTTCTTAGAGACAAGGTTGACTAGGATGCACCTAATTTTTTATCGGCCATGCTTATATTAAACAAAATCTATACAAACTTGACAATAAGAATATGCATGGGATGTCAAGTTTAGAGGCAAGGTTAAGCTAAAGGCATATAAAAGTTTATTCTTCACTCGTTTTGTGACGCACGAGCATCATAATTACTAATATATATACCTGTATATAGCCCTTTTATTTATGCGTGTGCATGCAGTTGATGAGAAGCTCACCCGGCCGACTTTCTCCGACGAAGATCGATGGCCCATCGAGGGCCAGATCATAGTAGGGGTATACCTCCATGCGCAGGTAGCAGTTGTAGCCGAGCACAACCCCGCCCCTCCGACCACGGCAGCATGACGGCAACTGCTGCACGGAGTCATTCAAGCACTTGGCGCACTCCGCCGCCGTCCGATCCCTCATGCACTGCAGGAGCCCATACATGGTGCCGTTGGGCGCAGTGGCATCGTACACTGCCGCCCCTGTTGCGAACATCGGTGCTACTGCCGGCGATGACATGCCGGAGCCGTTGACGACGCGCCTGGAGATGCTACTCATGAGCGTGCTGTAAGCAGTCTCGAAGCCAACCGTGTTGGTGACCACAACGCCGTTCTGAAACTCCTGCCAGTACGCGTCCTCGTAGGCCGTCGACGTGTTGGTGTCGGCGTAGCTGACGAAGCAGAACATCGGCGCCGGATATGCCACAGTGGAGCCGTCGTCGTACCAGATGGCTGCGCGGCGGGTGGTGTTGCAGCGGCTCCTGATGCCGAGCGCGGCGTTCTGTATGTACGTGGCGCACTGAGCTGCCGTGGAGTCGCCGCGGCAGATTCCGCGGACAAAGGCGCGGTCAGTGCCGTTGCCTCGGGACAGGGAGGCGAAGCCCGTGGGCGCCGCGGCCGACGGGAGCGCGTCCAGTAACGCCACGACGTTGGACCAGAACACGCTGTTGGTGGAAGAAGAGGCCGCCGTCGACTGTTGGCAGTCAAACAGGGTCCACTGGCTGTTCGTGGAAAGTACGACGGTGAAGAGGCTCGCCACCATGGCAAGGAAGAGAAGGCCACGGCCACGGCAACGGCGGTGGCCGGATGGAGGCGACGGCATGGGTGGTGTGTTTTGAGGAGGTGTGGAGACAACGGCGCTGCAGGAATCACATCCCACACTTGGATGATTGCACGCAGTGACGCCGATGTGGATGCCGCACCGTACCAACCGGTGACGCCGACGCCGATGGATGCCGTACCAACCCCGGCGTAGAGGACTTGGTGTTCGATTGGCACAGCTAAGACTGGACTTATCTGATACCGTCGACTTCTATGGCAAGTTGTTCGTTGCATCTTTTCCCCGTGGATGGAATAGCTGTCTGGACTTTTCAGCGAACACAGGTGAAATCTCTTTTTATCTTGGCGACTGCACTCTGTAGTTGGATCCGGTGATTCGTAACAGTTGATTTGTTCAAAGAAAAAAAAAATCACACCATATATTGACGTATAATCACGTTTGTATACGTACATTATGCCATGACCCGGTTCCAGATTGAGTCTGAACCAACGGTAGACTGAGGCCCTGTTTGGTTGGGCTTTTGGCTTTGGCTTTTGGCCCCAAAAGCCAAAAGCTCAACCAAAGGGGCTGTTTTTGGAGGGTGCTTTTTCAGAAGCAGCTGCTTTTCCGTAGTTCATTTTTGAAAGCTGGGTTGACCCTGCTTTTGGCTTTTGGCTTTCTGCTTTTCGAAATTGGTGGAATAAAAAACTCTTCCATAGTTGTTTCAAGAGAGATAAAGATAAAAGGTATATTTTATACTTGTTTAACCAAACAGCTTTCAGCTTTTCTACAGCTCATAGCCCACAGCAGCTTTTCCACAGCTCACAGCCCACAGCAGCTTTTTCCCATAGCCACAGCTCAACCAAACAGGGCCTGAGATAAGCTTATCTCGCCTACTATTCCATTGGTTTCTAGAAATACCCACTATGCCAGAAAACCAGATTAGTGACGCGGAAAACACACGTCACTTACATTGCGTCTGTGATGTGAACACATTAGTGACGCGTAAATGCGCATCACTGATTTGAGTTATCAGCGACGCGTCTAGCTAAAACGAGTCACTTATGTGAGTTATCAGCGACGCGTGTAGCCAAAAACGCGTCACTGATGTGAGTTACCAGCGGCGCGTGTAGCCAAAAACGCGTCACTGATGTGAGTTACAGGCGACGCGTGTAACAAAAAACGCTTCACTGATGTGAGTTACAGGCGACGCGTATAGCCAAGACGCGTTACTGATGTGGGTCTCATCAGCGACGTGTATACCCAAGACGCGTCACTGATAACAATTCAGAAAAATAAAAAAAAAACTACTTGGATCTTATATACATCAGCCATGTTTCATGTGTTTCAGCAATCAAATTCTTTATTGCAAACTTTAGATACAACTTATGAAGCAATCAAATTCATTACAAACTTTAGATACAACTCATGCTACAAAACATCTACTCAAGGAGCTGTTACCTAGAAGACTCCTAGCAGTACATAAGCAGATAACACATAGTATAAGGATTGTTCTTGAGATTAAATACATTAACTACATTGAGTATAACAGTACAACTAATTCCATGAGGCAACCTGCTTTAGCCAAACAAAACAGAAGACATGCAAGTCTCCGAAGTCTCCGAAACACAGCGGCGAGGCTGAGACACCGTGCTGTCTCTCTGTGTGTAAGCAGATAACTCATACAGTTTTATATATATTGCATAAATAATTGAACTGATTAGTTGAAAAAACCAAGATAACTGTCCTAAACAAAACACAAGCTGCTGCAACTGAACAAAGAGGATACAGGCTAGCCGATTAGCTACTTACCTGTTCACCTGATGCAATATTGGTGCCAACATGCTTGGCTGAATTGAGGTCCTGAACTTAGCTTTCTCTATTGGCATAATACTTGCATCTACCAAGGTGACCCTGGAAAAAACATTTTGGTGAGCAGGTTAGGAGCACAAACAACACACCTCAATGGACTTGGCGTTGAGGAGATCCTCGATGTAGGCGGCCTGATTCTCTCTACCTTGGGGGCCGGGGCCAGGCCGGGACCGGGACTGGGCGGCCTTCTGGGTCAGGGAGGGCGCCCGAGGGGAGGTCGGGGGAGACGTCGCCGGAGGAGACGCCGCGGCTGGCCGCTGGGACCGAATGAGGAGGACGTATGGATGCTGGATTGGTGAGGGAGAGTCGCCGGGGGGAGGAGGGGAGGCGCCGCGTCGGCCGCCCTCCGGCGTGGGGGGCTCGCTACCATCACCCGTTAGGGTCATTCTCTTGTCTCACAGTGCCGATGGGTGAGGGAGACTCACCTGGGGGATGAGGAGGGGAGGCGTGGCGCTGGGGACTCGCTGCCATCGAAGCCGATCTCCTGTCCTGCAGTGTCGGTCGAGGTTTCATGCTGCGAGCGACAGCATACTGCGTGGGGCTGCAGCGGCGAGTTGATGACACGTGGTGGTGGCGGCTAACCCTAGCGGGAGAGAAGAGGATAGGAGAGGAGAGGAGAGGAAGGGACTCAGGACGGGAAGTGGGGAGGTGCCAACAGACGCGAGCTCGTAGTTAACATGACTTGAGATTTTTTTAGGTCTAAAATAAATGTTCCACATATGTGTATGCTTTACACGCGTCACTGGTTAACAGGGGCGGTTATGAGTGACACGTTTTATTTTCTTTCCATGGGCGATAACTAATGAGCGAGGCGTATTATTTACCCGCGTCACTAGTGTAATTCTAGCGACGCGTTTCAATTCTGAGTCACTAATTTAGGTGTCTCCTTTGTGCTATTTTGGCACAGTGACCGTCAACCTTTTTCATACATTTGACTATTCATTTATATTTTCTTTAATTAAATATCTACATGAAAGGAAAACATTTTAAAGACAGTTCGAACACTATTTTTGTGAAAAACATGTTGTAACATTCTCTTGTCATGGTAACCAGATAAGCAAGAAACACTACTACACAAGTGTAAGGAAAATGGACCATTGGCCCATTTAGTTTGGATTTTGGAGTCTCATTATCAACATGACCATTGGGACTAACATTATTTGCTAGTGTTTTTGGATTAGTTCAAAGGGTGCAAAAGTGAACTTTGACTAAGGCAACAGTGTGATCCGAATGATGAGCACCTCAAGCAAGACATTAGAAACAATGCTTAAGACCTACAAGACATGCAAAGAGTCCGAGTCACGAAGATAGAACCAAGCAAACGCAAAGATCACGTAGAAACAAAGTGAAGAAGGCTCAGCATGGCATCAGACCAGTGGTGGAGCAAACCCTAGGAGTGAGCGGTAGCGGTAGAGTGTTGGACAAAAGTTGAACAAGACGTCAAACCAAATGGGTGCACTATTCACAGAAGTAGGGAGCATTGGACCGAGCCAACAAGAGGGCGTCGGACCAATTTCAGCAGAGTCAGACGACGTCCAGAGAGGTTCTAGAAAGGATTTCTAGGCATCGGACCAGTCCGAGGACTAGCGTTGGACCATACCCTACGTGGGGCCAAGATGTCAGTGACTCAACGGTCGACAACAGCTAGTCACGGGAGCAGGGCGTCGGAGTGTCCGACGACCACCGTCGGATAGTTCGACGGTCACGCAACAGCTATGTGCCAAGTCTCAATAGCTTTATGTTGTTGGAGTGTGCTGAAGATATAGGAGTGTTGAGACACCCCATCAAGTGCTCTACCACCACAAGTGCTTAAGAGAAAATTAGGTACCATGATTAGTGTAGGTGCTGTGTGAATTGCTTAGGCTAGTTAGACCCGCTTAATCGCGCTTGCTAAGGGTTTAGGCCTAGTGTTTACTGAGGTTTGCATACCTCAAAAAGAAAGGTGCTTGCGCACCGTGTTTGTACTCCGAGGGGCTTGTAGTCTTGCGAGACCACATCAAACGCATTTGTGGTGTGGCCACCACCGTGTACCTGAGGGAACGAGCGCGATGTTTAACCCAAAAGCTCGATAGTGAAGATGGCGGGAACAGTCTGAAAGAGGCATTTTGGAGACCTGCGTGCACATGGGGAAGGCCCGGTGCTATCCATGGAGTTACCCGACCGGGAGCTTGGCCCTTGCGAGGGGCTCCAACGAGGATTAGGGGAAAGCTTGCGTGCTTCTCGATACCTCGGTAAAAATATCGGATTCGTTGATTGGAGTTTGCATCTCTATCCCATTTAAGCTTCTGCATTTATATTGTGTACCTTGGTTGTGTGCTTTACCTTCCTAGCTTAGTTGATAGGATGAAACCTCGGTTGCATAATGTCTGTGTTTCATGGACCGACCAGTAAATCTATCGCCGTGCTTCTCAAAGAAATCGATGGTGGCACTCGAGACACAGGGAATCATACTAGTTCAGGACAGAGTCCTACGTCCAGTCTCAGAGGGGTCTGAGTTCGTGTTCCTCGGTTCAAGTGCTCTAAAGGCTTACAATGGGGGTGCTCATAAGCGTGGATGGCAGAGTGAGAGGAGTCAAGATAGTTCAGATCCTATGTAGAGTGAAGGCCTGGCTCCCGTTTGTTTACACTAAAATTTGGAGAAGAGCGCGGGAACTCGTAGGCTTCCAAGATTGTGCCAATCAAGGAGTCGATTGCGTAAAGATAGATATCTGCCGGTTCAGATGCGACACTGGGATCGGTTTTCTTTAAAAGACGTCAGAAGATAACGATGATGAAATATGATTGGCATCAAGAAGATACATATCAGACTCTACAAAAGGGGAAAGATTAGAGTCCAAGTTATTTTAAAATAGGAATGTTTTCTTCGTACCAAAGATTGTACTGAGTCGTGCTCGAGTAGGATTCGTTTTTAGGCTCCGGGTATAAATATCAAATTCCGGCTATTGTAAAAGGACACACAATCAATCAAATACAAGTTATTTACTTTTTTCGGCTCCGGTCACCTCTTAGGAGTAGGAGTAGAGTAGATCTCGATGAGTTCTTCAGCAAGTACGGCTGCATCGATCCGGTCGACCTCCACTGCTTGTCTGTAAGTACCGTCATGGCTTATACCTCTGTTCATATGGCTGCATCGATCCGGTCGACCTCCACTGTGACTCTGGTATGAGTTAGTTATCGACTCTTGTCTAGTT